TTTTTTTTTGTAATCCATGGTTGAATTTTTTGTTTTTTGCTTTTTTTGTAACCCATGATAGAGTTTTTTGTAATCCATGATTGAGTTTTTTGTAATCCATGATCGAACTGTTTTTTTCTTTTTTGTAATCCACGATTGAATTTTTTGTTTTTTTTTGTTTGTTTTTTCTTGTTTGTTTTTTTTTTAATCCATGATCGAATTTTATGTAATCCATGATCGAATTTTATGTAATCCATGATCGAATTTTATGTAATCCATGATTGAATATTTTGAAAATTTGTGATTTTTTTTTTAATCCATGATCGAATTTTTTTTTGTAATCCATGATAGAATTTTTTGAAAATTTGTGATTTTTTTTTAATCCATGATCGATTTTTTTGAAAATTTGTTATTTTTTTTTTTTAATTCCATATTATTCAAAGAGAAAATGAGAGAGATGATGTTTCTGAGGCCACCCTATCCCAGCCATATTATTCACATATCGAGTCCCAACAACAAAAGTGTAGGGATGAGCACGAAATACTGTAAATTAAATGCTGAATGGCGGTTCATGCAGGGAAAGAACATATCAATATTCGCATATTCATTCAAAAACATGAAAATTCTTAATGGAGTACCCTCATTTTTTATTGAATTCCTAAAAAACAATATTTATAATGAATTTTAATAATTTTTTCGAATTTTTTTTAAGCTTTATTTTGACCGATTCACCCGATTCTCGATCCGGATCGCCAATTCGCCGATCCGAATCGGTTTTTTGGAAGCCCGATCTGGGTCACCGATCCGTTTTTTAAACCATTGGTTTCTGTTATTACCAAAATACCAAATAGTTTATATTATTATTGGAATGTCCGTTTTTTTCACTTCATAACAATTTTTTTTTAAAAAGGACATTTTTACCCTCTTTCGCTTTTTGAACAACAGAAAATAGGAATCTTGGTATTTACATTTTTATTTTTGGTTGTTGAACAACCAAAAATGTCTTGTTTTCGATGGTTGAACAATCGAAAATGTCTTGTTTCGATTGTTGAACAACCGAAAATAGGATTGCGTATTCCAGAAGCTTGTTGGAATATGCAGTTCTATTTTTGATTGTTCAACATCCAAAAATGTCTTGTTTTCGGTTGCTCAACAATCGAAAATATGACCGTGTATTCTTGTAGCTTGTTGGAGTACGAAGTCTATTCAACAACTGAAAATAAGATTGCGTATTCCAGCAATCTTCTGGAATACGCAGTCTTATTTTCGGTTGTTCAACAATCGAAAAATAACTTTTTCGATTGTTCAACAACCAAAAATATAATTTTTTCCGTTGTTCAACAACCGAAAATATAACTTTTTCGGCTGTTGAACAAGAAAAAATAAGACTGTATTCGAGAAGCTTAAACGAGCTCTGCTATTTTTTTGGTTGTTCAACAATCGAAATTAGATTATTTTCAGTTTTTCAATAACTGAAAAATCCAATCATTTATGTTGTTCAAAACTGAAAGATGATTAAAAAATCTTTTTTAAAAATTTTTCGTTATGAAGAGAAAAAACGAACATTTCAATAATAACGGAAACTATTTGGAATTTTAGTAATAACGGAAACTATAACGGATATATATGTAATTTTTTTTATGATTAATTTAACATTAAGGGATAGACACATGTTGCGAAAATAAGAATGGACTCTAATTCTATAGAGATTGTAGGAGACCTTTCTATTTTTTAGAAGAGAGAGAGTATTCATCTTTTGGGGAGAGAGAGTACACATTCTTAACCCTCATAGAGGGCTCCAATTAAGAAGGTGAAAAAAAATAGGAGATATAGGTATGAAAGATTTTAGTGGAGGGAAAGGCGGAATACTTAAAGAGAAATAAAGAGGTTGTATGAGAGATTTTAGAATAAATGACAATGAAAAAAGATAGGAAATATAGATATGTGAGAGATTTCAAGGGAGAGAAAGAGGGGGGAATAGGTTAATAACTAGAGAAAGAGGTTTAATAAGATGATATAGGTAAGAAAAAAGAAGATGAAAAAGAAATAGAAAAATACATGAGAGAGATGATTTAGAGAGAATACATTTTTCAGATATCCTTGTTAAAAAAGATATACCCATAAAGTAATATACATAAATAATGGAAAATTTATGGAGAGAGAGGTATATGTGTGAGTATTTTTAACCATATATTCCTGTAGGGTTGGAATTTTTGCTTAAATTAGTATTTTTAGGAAGATGGAAAAAAAAAGATGGACATGAGATATGTGGATGGATTTTAGTGGGGAGAGAAAAATGGGGACATGTGACTAGAGAGAGGAAACAAAAATTCTCTAATATTTCTCATAACATTTTTCAATGGAGGTTTCCTCTAATCCTTCCTAAAACAAGGTAAGTGTCTCATTAAATGTTTTCTCTAATATTATCCGAACAGTGTTACGTTGTTGATGTTTGTCTGTTTTGGTTGAGTTGCATAGTAGGGTTCTATGTATGGTTTCTAATGAATTATCTGCCTTTCGTTTTTAAATTGATGGGTATAAAGGCCCAAAAGTGATATGTTTGATTTGAAATTTTGAAATTTGATTTCTTTGAAGACAACAGAATTGAAAGAGCTGCTATTTGCTTTGTTCTATGGAGAGTAAATGTTCATACTTTATGTGCATTTGTTTTTTTTTTTTTTGTAATATTTATTGCTCTTCTTACTTACCGAACTCTATGTTCATTTATTTTATGTCAAATATGTTGATCTCTTCAGCTAGATGTCGGTTCTAGTATCATTTTTTTCTTTATTTAATTAGATGATGTATTATATCAAGACAACTTGTTATTAATGTTTTCTCCATGTCATACGATTCATTAGTTATAGTGTGATTCTCTATTGTAATTTTTATTGCATAAGATGCTTTTATTATAACATACAGGTCACATAGACTTTGAGTCACATATTCACATTTAATCATTTTTAACTATATTATTATAAAAAAGAATAATATTTCTCACCCCAGAAGAATGAGTTAAAAACATACTTTCACTAGCTGATTTTTTTAATTTTATGAACTTTTATCAGTTTCTAATGAGTTTTCATGATTTTAAATATTGTGAACGATTTATAATTTAGTATTTTTAATAATGAAATATTTTAATATTATTATAATAAAGACTTCTGTAAATAAAATTTGATGATTATAAAAATTAGGAATGACTTATTTTTTAGAAATTCTAATAACAAATTTCTAGATAAGTTTTTTACATTTGTTTTTTTCATAAAAATATGCTACCAGTTTCAAATAAATATTTGAAAAATTTGTTTCTTTTTTTAATTAAATTAATCACATAGGCACACATCCAAAATGAGAAATAAGACACTAACTTGATTTTTATTTTTGAATTTATTTAATAATTTTAAATTTTATTAATTTCATGACTTTTACAAATGTGAGGTCCCTTGAACTGTTGAAGATTGATGTCTTGTATTCTGAGGAAATAGATTTGCTAAGGTGGAGTAAAAAAGACGACTCCGGAGGGCTGCTAAAAGCTCGAAGGGCTGAAGGTCCGTACATGAGATTTGATATATTTGGGACTTAATATATATTCGTACAAGGGTATTTTGATAACTTGTACCATCTATCTGAGAGTCGATATATATTGTTGCGATTGGGAGTTCATCAAAGGTTAAGGGAAAAGCGCAGATTGCTTTGTACTCAGAGGGGTGAGAAAGAGAGCTTTTGTAACCATATTCTCCATTGCCAGTAAAGAAGTTCTCATCTCCCGTGGATGTAGATACGTTGCCGAATCATGTATATCATTGTGTTGTGGTTGATTGTCTCTTTTTTTTACGTTTGTTTATTCTTTCTAGTTTTCGTGGATTGCTTTTCATTTCTACAAATTAGTATTAGAGCTTACAAGGTTATTCCCCGTTCCGGGATTTACTACCACAATAACAGGAAACGGCTCAAGCGTCAAGTATGACATTGAGAGGTTCAATGCAAAGAATAATTTCACCCTTTGGTGACGAATGATGAAGGATCTTCTGATACATCAAGGTCTGGCTAAGGCTTTGCCATGGAGATCGAAGAAACCAGCAACGATGGACGATGAAGAGTGGCAAGAGATGGAGGAAAAGGCGGTAAGTGCGATTCATCTGAATCTCTCAGATGACGCCTTACGTTATGTGGTGGATCTCAAAACTGCTCGGGAGGTTTGGACAAAACTCAAAAGTATCTACATGACGAAATCTCTGACGAACAAGTTGTTCTTGAAGAAGCAGTTGTATTCTCTTCAGATGGAAGAAGGCACAGATCTGCTTGAACGTCTCAGCGAGTTCAACCAGATCATAAGCCAGTTAACAAGCCTTGTGGTTGAAATCAAAGATGAAGACAATGCCCTACTTCTATTGGCTTCGCTTTCAGGATCATACGATCATCTGGTTACGACTCTACTGTACGGGAAGGAGACTCTAGAGACGAACGAAGTCACTGCTACTCTTGTGTCAAACGAGACAAGTAAGAAGACTAGCAGTATTAAATCTAAAGGAGAATGTTTCTATGGAAAACACAAAAAGAGTCATGAAAGGGACATATCAAATCAAAAGAAGTTTGGAAACAGAAGTCGGTTAAAATCGAAGTGGAATGGCAAGTTTATTTGCTATTACTGCAAAAAGGAAGGTCATGCAACCTTGTGCGCCATGCTTCTCTCTTCATTTTGAATACTAATTGAAGCCTTTTTGTTTTAATCTAGATTCAAATTTACTAGTAGACATGATTTAGAGAGCTAATACTTATATTTTTGGTTATTAATTTTTATGCATTAAAATTTTCTAGGATTAAATATTTAGTTCATTATTGCAATTTTTTTTTAATTTTCTATGAAGGTATGTTATATTCTCGTTGTTAGATATTAATATTTTTTTGTGGATTTTGGTGGATTTTTTAACTCTTTCGGCAACTTCACATAATTATAAAATAATTATTATTTGAAATTATTTAGTATGCCCCAATACAAAAATAAAAATAAAATAATTTCATGCTATAGAATATGCACTAAAATAATGATTCCATTAGATAATAATATGGAGTAAAAAACTATAACTTTATACATGTGTATTTATTGGATTTTTTTATTTAATAGATATTTTTAACATTATTACAAACCCCAAGGCTCATGCGTACATACTATTTTTTATTGTTTGATTGTCATCCATACTAAACTTGAGTTTTCATGAAATATTAATATTTTTATTGTTAATTATAGAAATTGTTATTTGTTAAATTTATCTGTTAGAAGCAATGGTTTAAAAACCGGATCGGTGACCCGGATTGGGCTTTTCAAAAACCGATCCGGATCGGCGAATC